GAAAGACGATCTCGACTGGGTATCAGCTATCCCATGGTTCTGGTTCAAATCCAATGTACAACGAAAAAGAGGTCTCTACTCTCTCTCTATCTCTCTATTTTTTAAAATTTGAACGTATTGTTAAGTCATCTTTCCATTAATGAATTCCCATTGCAGGTTTATCAGTTATCGATCGGAGCAGCATGCGGGTTATCATGGCCGTCTGATCGGATTATCATACAAGTTCTGGATGATTCAACAGACCCAATAATCAAGGTACCCAAAACTCAAAAACCCAGAATTAAAAATGAAAAAAAAAACAACATTAGAAGACTGAATTATAACGAATCAGAGTTGTACATTTTGCAGGAGCTGGTGAAGGCGGAGTGCGGGAGATGGGCGAGCAAAGGAGTAAATATAAAGTACGAGATAAGAGATAACAGGAATGGGTATAAGGCAGGGGCGCTTAAAGAAGGAATGAAGGCGAGCTACGTGAAAGAGTGCGATTACGTCGCCATATTTGACGCCGATTTCCAGCCGGAGCCGGATTTTCTGTGGCGGACCATTCCGTTTCTCCTCCACAACCCTGAGTTGGCTCTGGTTCAGGCTCGTTGGAAATTCGGTATGTACTCCTCGTTCTCCTTTTTATTCTCCGACGTCGTTTCTATAACGATATAACAACCTTAATTAATTTCGCTCCTTTTTATTTTTAAATTTGTTTGAAAAGGATACTAATCACATTTACAACGTCCACCAACTTACTTAGTTTTTTTAATAATTTCTTTTTTATATTAATATAAATTTATAAAGTAAAAATATAAATATATATATATATATATATATGCCACCACGAATTCTCCTTATATAATAAATACTAGGAGTTCACCAATTTCATAAATAATAAAAAATTCTGGCCCCTAAATTAACTCGAATATAAATATACAAATTTACATCTATTACACCCAACAGAGTCCTTTACTTTTGAAGCGTAAATAATTTGCTTAATTTTAAATCCGTCTAATACATATGTGAATATACATGTATCCTTATTCTACTGAAATGATTATTATTATTAGTATGAAATTAATAATTATAAATTAGATAGTAATAATAGAAACTTATGATTTTAAGACTGTGTTTTAAGTAAATTTATAATTTTGATAATTTTAACTTGTCAATTTATGTTTAATTCAATTTATATAAAGTAGAAATTTTTTCTAAAATAATAAAATGTGACTACATACGTCCTTATGAGTTTAATTTTATTATAGTATTATTTATTTCTGACAAAATAATTAATACTATTTCTTAATTGATTTATCTATAAATTTATAATATTTATGTATTTATTTTAAACCTAATATAAATTTAGGTGTATGTATACTATAAATGACATTTTTACTAAGTTAATTATTTTCGACAAAAAATTACACTTATAAAGAAACTCTATTAATCTAATCTTAAACCCTTAAACTTTTCATTAAAAAGAACCCTTAATTATTAATTTTAATTTAAACAGACAAAATCATAAGACGAAAAAGTGTATATATAATATTTTGGAAACTGTCGGTGAAGGGTTGAGGATGCTCCAACCCCACCAGCCTCAACCTCGACCTCTTCTCTTCTCTTCTCTTTCTCATGGTCTTGTCCTTGTTGGCTCTCCCTCGTTCTTACACGACAGCAACCTTTTTCGTGTGAACTACTAAAATAATAAGATGATATACATATATTAATCCTAATAAACTACAAATAATTTTGAAATAAGAACGTAATTTTATAAAATTCTACAAGTGTAGTCAACTAAAATAGTAGCAAAAATCTTTAGGTCTGGACATGGATAGATCAAATCTTAGTGTGGGTATAGGGACAATAATTGAAAAGTAAGAGGACCCCTATGAAATAACTTTTTGCTGATAAAGCTGCCACTCGATTCAAGAGTAGTCTATAATCTGTACCCTCAAATTTCCATAATTTCATTTGGGCCCGTCGAGAAATGATAATATTAATAGATATGGAAGTAGATGAAATGCTTGTTTGCTGAATGCTGAGAACAGCTGGGTGGGGGAAGAATTAAGGGCATGTTTGGATGAAGAGAATATATCGAGAAGACCACACTTGTCTGACTTGCATTCCAGCCAAACACCTAGCCCAGCAGCTGCATGTGGGGAAATTAAAATGGTGGACCTCCTCCAGTCATTTTCCTTTCATTGTGCCTGTGACTGTTACCCCACGTTTTGGTTTCTTATTTTCTTTATTCTGGTTCTGATATTTTTATTGATTATTAATTAATATTGTGGGAATTATTATTATTATTTTTTGATAAATAAGAAAACATTATGTTTGCAGTGAATGCTGATGAGTGCTTGATGACGAGAATGCAAGAAATGTCATTGGATTACCATTTCACTGTTGAACAAGAAGTTGGGTCCTCTACCTATGCCTTTTTTGGCTTCAATGGTAGTCCCTCAAATCCTTTTTTTTTTTTTTTCCCAAAATATAATTAGAAAGTTTTATAAATTTAATTATATTACAAGAGATTAATAGATAGAATTTTAAAGGGACTGCGGGAGTATGGAGAATTCATGCTCTGAATGAGGCAGGGGGATGGAAGGACAGGACGACAGTAGAAGATATGGATTTGGCTGTGAGAGCCAGTCTTAAAGGCTGGAAATTTCTTTACCTCGGTACCCTCAAGGTACTCCGAACTTTTCTTTACAAAAATCCCACCAATTTCTTGAATTTTACCTATTAAATTCTTTTCAATATGATATAAGCATCGTGTAACTAGGGTTTTCTATAGGTGAAAAATGAATTACCCAGTACTTTCAAGGCTTACCGATACCAACAACATCGTTGGTCATGTGGTCCGGCGAACCTTTGCCGGAAAATGCTGATGGAAATTATTAGAAACAAGGTTAGTGTGTGTGTGTGTGTATACAAAAGATAAAATTACCACGAAAAATTAACCTTTTCACTGTTAATGCAGAAAGTATCATTATGGAAGAAGGTACATGTGATATACAGCTTCTTCCTGGTTAGGAAGATCATAGCTCATATAGTTACATTCGTTTTCTACTGCGTCGTAATGCCTGCAACTGTTCTGGTGCCTGAGGTTTACGTTCCCAAATGGGGAGCCGTTTATATTCCTTCCATTATCACTCTCCTCAACGCCGTGGGAACTCCCAGGTTTCTTCCCATTTCAAATTTTCTAATCATTTGCTGAATGTTTTGGCTTATTGAATCTTGATTTTTCTTGTTTCTTCAAGAGGTTCTGCTGAGTGTTTCGGTTAATATCATCAGAATTTTCTTGCTTTGAGCTGATTTTCAATTTGAAATTCCCCTCACAGGTCTCTCCATTTAATGGTTTTCTGGATCCTTTTTGAGAACGTAATGTCATTGCATCGGACCAAGGCTACTCTCATCGGCCTGCTAGAGGCAGGGAGAGTAAACGAATGGGTTGTGACCGAGAAACTAGGAGGTGCTCTCAAAGCCAAAGCAGCGACAAAAGCATCCAAGAAACCTCGTTTCAAACTTGGAGAAAGGTGCTCATTTATTCTTTCTTTGATAGGAACTTGTCAACTTTTTATATAATAACTTAAACTGATAAAATAACTCGAACTATAATTATTACATTAGTATATACTTTGTCTAATCATATACAAGTTCGCGATCCTGCTAAGTTTTGTTTTATATAAGTGGGTAAATAATCCGAATTTGAATGCTAGGGTTTTGACTTTGATACTATATCTAGTAAAAACTGACTCTTTTTCTGCTATGAATGTTGGCAGAGTTCATTTATTGGAGCTTGGTGTTGGAGGTTTCCTCTTTTTTTGTGGGTGTTATGATTTCGCCTTTGGTAAAAATCACTATTTTCTGTACCTTTACGCCCAAGCAATTGCCTTTTTCATCGCCGGATTTGGGTACATAGGCACCATTGTTCCCAACACTTAGTGCAGCTCTTGAAGTTTGACCAATTTAAGGCAAGTTTTTTTCTGGGTATCCATCAGAATTTGCCTATGATTTGGCATTCAAAGCCACATTGTGTTTCATTTTTAGCATGTATAAAAGGATTTGAGAAGCAGTCATTCTTTTAGGTTGATCATAAAGTATTTCGGGTTGGATTAATTGCTCGAAAGTGATTTAGTTCTCTTGTGAATATCCAAGAAGTTAGGGAAATTATAGAGGAGATTGTAAGGGGATTTGCATCATACAGATCAGATAAGCAGCAGCAAGTCAATGCAGCTTATAAGTTTTTATCTTGGAATAGATAGATTGAACATTTCGGTTTGGATTGCTTATAATCTAAAGTTACTTATCTAGATTTCTTTTGGGTTCTGGTTGAAGTTTGCTTAAGAAAGTAATAAGCTTGCGGAGAGTGGGAAACAGTTGAAGTAGAGGGCTATGCTTCTCTTTTTTGATCTTTTTCTTTTGAAAAAACTATTTTGCTGTAATATTCCATGTCAGTTAATCTCTCAACTAATGGAACAAAAAAAAAAAAAAATGCATCAATAATTTCCTTGTTAGATAGTTGTTACTCTCTTCCTTCTCTACATATAAGGTTATTATATATTTGAGTCGGGTTATATTTTATATGCATCATCATTAAAATATCGTGGTATGATTTGTGTTCGTGTATCATTTTATTAATAAAATATATAAATTTTAACGAAAAAAATTATTAAAAAAGATGTTACTTGTATTTATTTTATAATTATTAAATAATAATTTTTTACTTATATTATTAGTTATGAAATAATGAATCACTATTGATAATGTTAATATAATGTTATTATAAACTTTTTTTTTTTATAGTAATTACGATTAATGCAAGCTGTGATTGAAATAAATTTATAAATTTATTTGTAAACGAATATGAAAATAGCAATAAAAAAATGCTGTGCTAATCACAAAGAAAAACCTATTGGGAGAAGTAGGCCATTTGAAATTTCTCTTTCTCACCAAACTTGAGTAGTCTATTTTATTAACTATGAGAGAAGTAGGGGGCAAAATGAGTTTCTTTTGATATTTGAAGGTAAAATAGATATTTTTATATTTTTAGAAGAGTCTTTCTTGACGTTTAAAGTAAATATTATAAGATTTTTAAATCGATATATCCAAACTCAATTAAATTCTCAAAATCTTTATTAAAATTAGAAAATTCAATCTCATTGTAATTTGAGCACGGATTTAGGAAACACGGATTTAGAAATTAAGCTATGTCTTGAGTTCTATTTATCCAACTAAAGTAATTCTATACATTGTGAAATGCATGCACCTTAAGGCTACAACTTTTATCAAGAGGTCGAGGCCTAAATTAATCTTTATTAGAGCAAAAAAATGATTCTAAATAGTATTTGGCATCTCAAGATACTGTTTAGGCACCATAACCTTCACTTGAGATGACGATGACTCTAACAAAACAGAATTATTTTTTTGTGACACTATGGTTGGTTTCACAATACTTGGAAACAGTATTGTTCGGGGTGTTGATTGAAATCATATTTTATAATTAAATAATTATATTTAAATCATGTGTTGTCTTTGTAAAAAGAACTATTAAATGACTTTCTATAAAATAAAATAAAAAATTTAAAGAAGATTTTTATAGAAGATCCGAAGAAAAAGTTTTGGAAGAAGATATTTCGTGTGCAGCTATTCAATATGAGTGTTAAGCTTTTCTTCTCAATTCAAAAGTATACTGAACCCTACACATTTGATGTAAGAAAATAGAATTAAAACATTAAGATTTCAACCATACTTTTTCTTCGAAATCAAACTCTATTTTTCCTAACTATTATTACGTAAGAAAATAGAATAAAAGTAATTTTAATTTTTGTGTAGTTATCTACTCTGGTATAAATTTGGTATGGTCTTAATTTTGTGGTAATTCCAATTTTGGCGTAGAAGAGAGTAATTCTAATTCAACAATCACCATTTGTTGAATTGCATTAATTATCTACTCATCTCACAAATTTTCACTTTTACTAAGAACTAGCTAAATTTTTTTTAAGAAATTCAGAAATAAGAATCTATAATGTTTTGGAGGGGGATATCAAGTTTACTATGTATTATAATCTATATATAATCTTTCTTTTTTTTTTTTGGTTCTTTCTTTAAATCTAACGATAACCCTTATACTATATAGTTTTAAACCGAGGTGAACAAATGTGCTAAGAATAACTCACATATATAGTCATATTACTATATCGTAAAATGACTAAGTATAGTAATAATAAAAGATTCAATTAATCTATCACCATAAAAAATATATATATATATATATTTGTTAATAGTAACCCTTAGTTTTGGTTACAAATTAAATATTTCTAAGAAAAATATGGAAATTGAACATATAAGGAATTAATATTAAAAAAAAAACTTCAATAATAAATTGTTAATGAATAATGCAGAAACTAGATTTTAAAAATTATTATGATATCACAACCAATCAATACATAAAATAAAAGAAATCTACAAATAAAATAAACAATCAATAAAGTAACTTATTTCTCTCCATAATGTATAGAAAGTTGTTTTCAAATACCTATACTTGTAAATAATATCATACCTTAAGTTTAGTTAGTATTCTAGAGTTTACGTTTGATCTTGTTACATGCTATTTTGGTCAATTTAGATGTGTGAATAAAATGTTGTATGAGCAGCCTTGCTTGATTATCAAATTACCATATTAGGACGAGAAAATTTTGACTTTGGAAATAGAAAGAGTGATGACAAGACTATGTTTCTAGTTAAAACCAATATACTTGATTTAATCCATCTTATATTGATAAATCAAGCTCCAAAACTGTTGGTGCTGACTTGTTTCAAGGCAATTTTTATGAGTTTTAACTTAACTTATAGTATTTGTGTCATTTCGCAAGTTAGGAGGCAATTTTAGAAATTTCATAGGATTCCCACATCACCCAAAAGAGAATCTCAGAGTCATGGCGTTGGGAAGTCCAAGCTGCAGTTCGAGTGAAGGAATTTTAGCACATAAAAACACAAACTTAGCACCCAGCAGTTAGAAATTGGTGCAACAATGCCTTGCGATCAAGAAATAAATAAAATTTGGTCACTGCAGTGCCCCAGACCTAGTGCCGCAGCACTGAGCAGCAACTTTGCAGTAGAATTTTGGCGTCAAAGCGCCAATGGCAACCGGGAATTTTTGACTAATAAGAAAGAAATTGTCTCTTGTTGCTTTCATTTGGTTTTTCCACTATATTAGATTCTTTTGAGTCTTTGAAGGGGAGCCACTATTAGTGCTAAACTTCCATTGAA